ATACATACATACATACATACATACATACATACATACATTCATCCATTTATCACTTTATAAATGTATTTACATATACATACATACATACATACATACATACATACATACATACATACATACATACACACACACACACATACATACATACATACATACATACATACATACATACATACATACATACATACATACATACATACATACATACATACATACATACATACATACATACATACATACATACATACATACATACATACATACATACACACATACATACATACTTGCAATTAGTCAGTCATACATATATACCTACTACAACTTACCCTCACAACACGTCAGCATGTGTTATCACTTTTTCTTCAATCAAGGATGAATTGTAACTCAGTAGTTTCTTCCTAAATCTGCCACAGAGCCATCAGTAGATTTCACATAAAATGGTTAAAACAACAATATGATATTCACAAAAAGATTTACAGAATCAGAATTTAGTCGCAATTCTTTAATCAAGATGCGCAAAATAAATACCAAACAGAAGAGCAGGACAAATATAGCTCTAGAGATAGGTCTGTAAAATCTTACATTTCTATTTAAAAATAATTTCTATAGACGAGATATGTATCTTAAATGTAAGAAAGGCAGATATGGTGGTGCCACAAAATTCTTTCAGACAAAAATGTACCTTTAGTGGGGTTTTTTTGTTTGAAAAGACAATAGAAATACAGCAGCAAGTGTAAACAAGACTCAGTTTTAACTGCACTTGAATATCAGCTATTTTTGCAGAGGACAAAGTTATGCTTACTCAAACAGGAGGAGAAAACATCTCTCCTACAAAGTAAGGCACCAACTGGGCTAATAGGACTATTTGAGTGGGAATTTCAAACAATGATTTAAATGTCATTGCCTTAGGTTTCCTTTGATTACAATAGCAGAAATCTAAACTAAGCAACCAAAAACCAACTAAAAAAAGTAATGCACAAATTCCACATGTAGGCTTTGGTATGGAGAAACATCCCATCCATGGAAAGGAAATGTTTACATAATTATGCCTCGAAAGCTAAAAACAAAAACTCTTTCAGAATGACTTGACATGCAAACAGTTTACTTACTTGTGAAATCCAAGTGGATAAGAAAAATCTGAAAAACTGCTTCTACCCACATCCATGAAAATGTCAAGAAATTTACTCTTCTCTTCTTTTTATTCACTCTTTTTTTACTTTTACATGATCACAACAGAACACAGTAAATCTCTGTCTGTCCGGAAGGTGCCATCAATCAAGTTAGGTGTAAAATGAGATGTTTTTTCCGTCTTTGTAGAAACAAATCTCAACCCTTTATCCAATCATATATACACATAAACCACACACAGGACGCACAGTAATCACCCCCTAAACAGCAGACACCTGAAATTGCTCTAACATTTCATCTAAAATTTCTTTAGAGTCAAAGGGGCCCCACAAGCAGCCGAAGACACAGAAAACTCTTTAAAATCATAAAAACATTAACATATTAAAAGTGTTTGATATAAATAATAATTGTGTTCCATTAACCTGTAATATTTTCACAACCAAATACTGTAAATGAATGAGCAAGGTCTCCATTTGGTAAAAAGAAGAAAAAAAAAAACACCGGCAAAGAACCGAATAAAAACTAACTAGAGAATTTACAGGAGGCGGCAATTTGTACTTTCTTCTACTGTCTATGTCCTTATCAAGACATTAAGTTTGTGTTCAGTTAGATGCTATCTAACACTGAAGCTCCAGAACCCACTTCTTTTTGCTTACAGCACACAAATGGAATTCAGGTTTCAGTGATTGGTGAAACACATGGTCATGGTAGCTTATAAAAATCTTTGCTATCTCATTATTATCACTGCTAGGACAGCCCTTAATGTACAAACATAACTAGAATAACTATAAACCTTTTTCCCCCCGATCGTAAACAAGCATATGAAGTCCATCACTTCCTTCTTCAGCGGCAGTTCCACGCATCGACCAACAGAGGGCGGTGAGTAAATCAGCGATGCAATTTCCTGATTTTTAGGGAAGCTTTGAGAAAAAAAACTGCTCCTAATTACTTAAACATCCGAGTTCCTCAGTTATTTTTCCTTAACTGCATAATTCATGTTGAAAAGTTCTGTTTTTTTTCCATTTTTTGACACTAATGAACCCAAACAGCCACCAGCTGATATGTTCTTCAACAACACTAGGACTTTTTTTCTTTGTGAGAAGGTCCTCCTCTCCTGCTATGGAGCTGAGTGTGAGGCTTTCAAACTGTAGTGACGGTGTTTGTTTGTTTATTTGTTTGTGGCAGCTGGTCCTCATCTTCATCGTCCACGCTCAGGTCCAGCCTCAGGTTATCCAGGGTCTGACGGATGGTCAGGTTCTCCTTCCGCCTGTGGGGCAGAACAAACAGCTTAGAACTCGGTAGGTGAGCTGACGGTAGGCTGTTTGAGTAGGAAAGTGGCTCTGTACTTGTTCTGCAGGTGCTGGTCCAGCAGCTGCCTCTGCAGGCGGCTGTTGGCCTCCCGCTCCTCGCCCAGCTCCCTCTGGGTGTGGCGATACTGGGCCTCCTTTCTGCTCGCCTCCTCCTCGGCCTCGTTCAGCTGCCGCTTCAGGGAGCGCATCCTCTGCGTCATCTACGGGAGGATCACAGGGTTCTGCTCAGCCACGGCCATGAAATCACCAGACTGGTTTACTGTGTGATGCTGGCTTCATCTCAGTCTTTATAGACGGTGAGCAATTTGAGCTGTTTTCCAACTTATTTTACATACAGCTCATTACAAAGCTAATCAACTTGCATATGCTTTATTTAAATTTAGGGTTCTTATTTTAAAATTTAGGCAAAATGAGAGAAAAAACTAAATTTTTCACTGAACTGATTGAACTATTGCAGCTCAGTTGAGCATCCAGCGGTATTTTCTGAGGGTAGGAAGCCCTGTTGTTGTCTGTCTTTATTTATTTTTTATGGTGGAAGCATGGGCATGTATGGAAGTTTAATTTAGTGTGTTTGTGTGTGTGTTTGTAGCTCACCAGGTCTCTCTGTTCAGTAGCTATCCGTTGCTCCTCCTCTATCTGATCCCCCAGCTCATTGATCCTCCTCTCCAGTTTGGTGATGGTGTTTGTCAGAGTTGCTTTGTTCCTGTACATAAAAACATGAACATTAGGCCACCGCTCAGCCTAAGGCACCACGCCTCATCCTTTTGTGGAGGAAAGCGTTTGGAAAGCTAATATCAGGCAAACATCAACTGATCAACACCTGGGTAAAGTATAAACTCTATGCAGATAAAACACAAGTCTGAATAAGATGCATTTGTGCAGGTTTTTCCTCACCTCTCCTCAACTCTAAGGGCATTCTCCAGCTCCTTGGCTCTGCTTTCAGCCCTCGAAATGACATCTTCCTGAACCCTGGAACTCTCAAGCTCATCCACCGTCAGACGCAGTTCTCGCAGCTACAGACACACACACACACATACAAGCAATACACATGAAAATGTATTAGACACTCAAAACAATTCACTTAATAATTGTCAGCTTGATTTTTTTCTTATTCTTAAAAACAGATCCTAACTCTGTTGTTAGCTGACCAATTATGTAATCCCACTTTATTCTCATGAGATGGAGCTCTAGAGCCAGTGCAGACAACACAAATACACACACTTCTGTTTGTATCTTTGTGGTGAGTAACCATTAGCTTAAAGCGTTCCTCAGCCCCATGCCATAGCGAGGCTTAACTCCGATCTGCCTTAAAGGTAATCTAAATATAGTTCTGATGGTAAAATAAAGGTTTGGACCTAAAGATGCTGGTTCAGCTATTTGATCCCTGTAAAATATGCTGGATCCCATTGGAGAGGCCCTGAGATTTGGACCCACAGGTAAAGTCAGACAGACACATGGATTACCTGTCTCTCTGCAGAGATCTTTTCCATCTCCAGTTGGTCGTTCAGATCCTTCTCCTGAATAAGCTTAAACTGCAGCTGCTCGGTCTGGAACCAAACACGATGTCCCGACATTAAGAAAGATCCAGTTGAAAGTTGGAACATTTGAATAAATCATTTATAAGTGCTTTTACCTGCTCAATGGCTCTCTTCTGCTTGTTGGCCCATCTCTGCTCGCTGTCCTGCAGCTCCTCCAGATCACTCTCCAGATCAATCATCTTCTCCTGAAAGCCAGAGACGGAGTCAAAAACCGGCTCTGATCCACACACCTGAGCAGCTTGTGATTCGAGGTCACTCGCCGGTTTGTCATGCAGAAATGTTCAGAAACAGGACAGATTAGGTATCCTCAGAAATGACAACATGATGTATACTGTATGTGAGATTATGGTATTAGTGCGCTGATTGCTAAACAGGATTTGCATAATTAAAACCTCATTAACCCCAAAGTCTGATAGTTTGCATGACTGATTAATTCAAGTGGACATCTCTGTTTGAATCATTGGGTCATGGAGGGTTGGAAAGAAATAAAACCCTCAATAAATAAATACAAACTTGAATCATATTTTTTTCTGATAAATCGTAGAAATGTAATTATATTTAATACAACTGACTGATGGACTTAAAAATGGAATACAACCTACTTTAACTTTGCACTGAAAGCTAAGCAGCTGTTAAGTCTGACTGACATGCTCCCTCAGTACAATGCAGTGGAGTGTTTTTGGAGTTTGTCTGATGGCTCTTTGACAGGCTGATTCAGAGTGGTGTTCATATGAGTTTAGATGAGGATTTGGCAGGTTTTCTCTTCGGTGGATTTTACAGTGCCCTACAATTACAACTGAAATTCAGGCTGTTGAATTGGGTTGAAGTGGTACCTGAGCCTGTTTGAGTTGTTTGGCCAGGTCATCTTTGGCCTGGTTCGTGCTCTGCAGCTCCATTTTGAGATCCTCCACCGCCCTCTCCGCCTGCTTGCACTGCAGCTGCAGCCTCTCCCTCAGCTGGATCTCCTCCTCCAGCGTGCGCTCCTTATCAATCAGCTTGCCCGAGACCTGCATACAAACACAGAAATAAGCTCCGGTCACACTGAAGGGGTTGGACGTTTGTCAGTGGGGGGAGAACAGTCGGTGGGGGTACCTCTCCCTGCAGCCTGCTGACCAGAGCCTGCAGGCGCTGCAGCTCCTGCTCTTTCTCCAGAAGAGTCTCCTCCAGCTCCTCCAGCCTCATCTGAGCGTCGTCACGCAGCTTCTGCTGCAGGTTCAGTTCAGCCGTGGCCTGAGACGATGCCTGCAGGGCTTCACCCAGCTGCAGAAACAGAGAAAGTCAATGAAATCCACACATCAAAGTGGGGATTCAGAGCCAACCAGAAAAAAACAGAGCTCAGACAACTACATTCAAAGTGTCTCTATCATAAGAGATGACAGAAGCTGGGAACCAGGAGTAAATTGAAAGATCTCGGACTGTTTGTTTGTGCGTACCTCGGTCTCCAGTCGGAGCACGGTGCTGTTGAGCTCGTAGGTCTTCTTGCCTTTGGTTTCCTGGTCGATCTCCAGCTCCTCCAGCTGTCGCTGGGCCTTCCACAGCTTCTCAGAGAGATTCTGAGCATGCTGCGTCTGCTTCTCCAAGTTTTCCTGAGCACAGAACAAACACACAGATCAGCGTTCTGCTTCATCACACCGTTGCATCCTGTTGGAAAGTACCAGTAAAACAATGTTAAAGTATTAAAAGTCATCGGAAGGAACAGACATGGTGCAACAGATGTATTTTTCATTTAAAGAGCAGAAGAAACTGTGACCTGAACCATTACAAAGTAATTCTTAATGTATTCCTAATACACTACAGGAACTCCAGAATGATGTGGAACCTCAAACAGGAAGTAAACATTATACCAGCTGCTACAGGACTACAGGCTATGATGGTATCTGCACATTAAATGGGTTTGCGTAGACATTTAGAAATGTATACCCATCATAACATATAGGGAGGTTTTTTCTGTTTATAATCTTATCATAAAGCTGTTCATTTCGGTTTGGTTTCCTAGCTGCTCCCTGTTTACTGGACGTACCTCAGCATCCTGGAGCTTGTTTTTGAGTGACTGCTCAAGAAAGTTGAAGGCATACTCCTGCGTGTTGGCTTCCACCATCACTTCCCGGGCCTCCTTCACCTCAATCTGCACAGCACAAGATGGGAGTTAGCCACACAAATGGAGCTGAGAGAGGACTTCCTTTCTCTGGCAGGCTCCCCCCGGACGAACCTCCATCTGCCGGAACCTCTCTGCCACGGCCTGCCTCTCCCTGTCCATCTCTAACACCTGCTCCCTGGTCTTGTTCAGCTCTTTGTTCAGCTGAGTGTTGGTCCTCAGCAGGTCCTCGTTGTTCACCAGCAGCGCACGCATCTCAAACCTTCAGAGGAGACGTGTTCAGTGTCTCTGTGTGTGTCGGTGCTTATGAGATCACAGATGACAAGAACGAGGAAAGGCAAACCAGAGAGGAACTCTAAAAGACACTTAACATGCAGGGTGTGGCTACAGCTACACTAATGAGCATTTAGACCGTCATTTATCTATACAGTGACAGGAGAATTGGAAAAGGAGTATGTACAGTTTTCTTAGTACAAATTTAACAAGCTCATGAGATCCTATTTGGAGAAAGAGCAATTGATTACTAATTGGAAGGTTGGTGTTGAGTCTATGAGTGAATGTGGCAGAGTGTAAAAATGCTTTGAATGCTCAGGTTTAACAAAGAGCTATCTCAACAATTCAGCACTGGTTCAACCAGTTTGAGTTGGGGGCTTTTTTTATTGCTCGACACCACTTTAAAATAAGAAAAAACCCTGGCTCCTTACAAAAAAATAAGTGGCTCAAAGGTTTAGCTCAGATCTACACCGACTAACCTATAAGGCAAATTGAGAGAAAAAAACCTAACATACACATCAAGTGGAAAGGTTACAAGTTATCACATTAACTTTGAAACCAGAAGCGAGCCAGTGACAGGATGTCAGGGTCATTTAAAAATGAATACAAAAAGAAGTCTGACCTGATTTGGTTCCTCTCCTTCTCCATCTCCACACTCTCGGCCTCCAGGAACTGGTTGCGCTGTAGTAAACACACACACAAAAGATTAAAAATGACATTTTCTCTCTGGATTAAAATATGGCTGTCCATCCAGGTGAAGACTCAAACATCTGCGTAACAGAATAATATCCCACTTCTGGGCCAACAACATAATACCTGACCAAAACAGTACATGTGTTGATGATTTGTGTAATTACACTGCACACCCACAGCGAACCGTGTGAAGTCTACCTTTTGACAGGCATCCAGCTCTTTGGTCAGCTCTTCGATGTAGTCTTTCTTATTGGGTCCCCCCAAAGTGGAGGAGCGCATACTGTAGTGGACGGGGGCCACCTGTGTGTGGAGGGGACAGAGTTTTAACACAGGACATGGAGCAGGAGCGGCCATTTAACAGATGGCGCGTGAGCGAGGGAGCGCACTTACGGGATTGTTGATCTCGGTCCTCCTCCTCATCAGAGTGTCATAGGCGGAGAACCGCTGGCGGGTGGGGTTCAGGGTGGGTGTGGTTATGCCCACCGGACTGGGACTGCGACCGTTGAAGGAGTACAGGTTCATCTCCGAGGTGGACGGAGACAATCCGCCAGGCGCCTGCAAACAAACAGACGCATTTTTTCCTATCATTGCATCTTTACACTAAAGTACGCCTGATACTCTAAACTCAACCAGTAGAAACTCGTCATTTATCTATATGTTGCTCCCAATCAACTAGACTTCCTCTGATTCTGTTCTCTGTTTTTTTTATTATCTGGACTTCCCTTTTTTCTCACTCATTTTGCACTCTGTTAAAAATCCCTGACCGTTTAAGTGTTTGTTAGTTAAGATGACTATTCATGCATTCCAATGGTACATAACTGAATGGATGAACCAGGGTTAAGACAGACATCTGACACAAGACGTGGACTGAAATTTAATGCTGGGAGGAATTCCCCCAGGAGCCTGGACCTCACCTTTAGAGATGGAACAAAGAGCAGCCAACAAGAACTTTGAGATGTCCTTCAAGAACTTTGCCTAAAGAGAACTTAATGGCTTTAAAGAAGAGATTATCTAAAAAGGTTCAGAATAAAGGAGTATCCACTTAAACGCACATTAGAAATAATAAAGAGAATTAGAAAATAATTAAATAAACTCAGCTTCCGTCATTCCTACTTTTTACATATGTTTTGGCATTTTTCAATGATTGGCTGAAAGTAGTTTTGAAAAAAAGAAGTAAATGAAGGGTGGCTAGAGGCATTTCAAGTAGAACTGTACATATAGATTTAAAAACCAGAATCAGCTCTGGATTTTGCTGACCTTAAACTCTGACAGTCGGTAGGTGGGGTTGTATTCCATCGAGGTGTTTGTGGCTGCGTACGGACTGTTGAAGACTCTGGGAGGGCTGTCCATCACACCCTGCTGTAGAAAAATAGATCAGATAAACATAAAAGGCAACACAAAGCAAGTATATCTCCAATTAAAGACAGTGATGTAAAAGACAAAAAAAAGTTTGCATTTGACTGCAATCAGCACTGTGCACGAATAAGCTTTGCTCTCACTTTAAAATGTGAGAACATGAAAAGAAGGGTGGCTTTGAATTTTCTGAACACTCCTGTTAACGTAATAAATGTTATAAAGTTATAAAATGCTGTCTGACATCACTCATGAGGTTGTGATGCAACACCGTTTTTCTGACATTTTCCCAAACATTTATTACTTTAACAGGATAACGTGTCGTGCATTGTGCTGTGCGTTTTGGGGAGTGGCTGTGCGTGAATGCCAGGGGGGAGTGGGATCGCTTCCTTTACAGGGAGAGGAGCGTCCTATTTGTCATTTCAGATGAAACTCTTAAATAGTTAATCAGATTTGATTGATGCAGAGTAAAAGACGTGTTGAAGCTGAAAAACGTGGCTCTGATTGAACGTTGTGAGAGCTGTCAGGAGACCACGACGGCCAATGAGAAACCTTAAATCTGCGCTTTTTCCAGGAGCTGGCGCTGCTCAGAAACTGGAAAGAAAAATGTCTTTACATGAATCCTGTATAGAATCAGAGCTGCACAGAGGCTCACACTAATACGAAAGACCCGAAATGGAAATAAATGCCATAAATAAAACATTTGGACTTGATAAGTATATGTTAACTAGAGAAAAGATTGTGAAGTGGGACAGATTTACAGAAAGATTTCTAAATAACTTTCTAAATAAGTCTTTGGAGATTCTTCTTAAACTTAGAAAAAATAGCTAATGTTTTGTATAGTTTGCAAAAACTCTGACTAAATATTGGGTTTAATTGCATTAAAGGCCTCAGTCTAAGCCTCTCTAGGATTAAGTACCTGCAATTGAAAACACAAGTATCCCAAAAAAATTAAGTGTCTCTTTCAATTCCTACATACAATCCAAACTTCTAACTCAACTTTGGAGGCAACATCTTAATGTTTTAACAAGATGGACTCCATCACAACAGGCAAATAAATATTTCTTTTTCCAGGAGATGGCACTGTTTCACCATGGGGAACGACATGGTCCTGCAGGATCTGATTAGCATAAAGGCCGCTTTTAATCTCCCTGAGATAAATCATCCACACAAACGCACAAAAGCCCACAGTCTGTCTCACCCACCCTGTCAGAACCTGTGTCCCAGTCCCGTGAGGTCAGGGACTCCAGGGACCCTCGGAAGTTGTTCACCCCGAGCCGGTTGCTCTCCCATCTGGACAGCCTGGGGCTGTTCTCTCCGGTTGACCCAGTACTGCCCAGCCCGTTTGCATCCCTGCCGCTGAAGCCGTTGGGTTTCAGGTCGCTGTTCATGAAGAGCTGATACTTGGGGCTCTGGGTGACCGGGGCTTTGGGCGTGGTGGGCTCTTCTTCTGATGGGCTGTCGGACTGCTTGTTCAAATCCAACTCGGACTCCTGGAGGTTTGGGAAGAGGGTGCAGAAGGGAAGATGAGACTCAAACTGGGTTTAAAAACACAATTGTGCTGGAAAAGTAAAAGCATTCAATGTTAAACTTTGAAACACCAAGTATCCAGCTGGAGAAAGAAGCCCAATCAGAGAAAAAGGACAGAGTGTGTCATTATCAGCACAGCTTTGACAGTCACTGCATTCAACTGCCATTTGCTTTCTTTTCCATATCCGGAAGGCTAAAGGAAATAAAAAGCTAAGTAAAAACCTGACCATGACTGCGGCCCAAATATTTGTATTTATAAGATTGTCTCAACAGTAGGGACACAAAAACATGATGACTGGCCTTCAGTTGCTTTCTGGGTAAAATCTACATTTTTTTCTTAGTCATTCGTTTTTTTGTTGTTGTTTTTTATTCATCTGGTTTTTAATTGGATCTGAATTTAAACATGCCGTTATCTCACATTATCAAACGTAGACCGAAGAGCAAACAGACTCGAGCACCAAATGCAGAAATGTGTAACAGTTTCATTTGTTTCAGTCTCTTTCAAAGAGCAAAGATCAACACAATCAGAAGGGAGAAGGGTAATTGGTGATGTATTACACCTAATCCAGAAACGTTCTTACAGAAATAATCAAAAGAGCTGGTTTCAGGCTTTAAAGCCGTCGTGTGGTTGGAATCATTCAGTGCTTTGATGATGCGAGGAAAGGTTTAAAAATTTCGAAAGATTTTTGATCCATGCAGCATTTCCTTTGGTTGTTTTTTCCTTACCGATCCCAGGCCAGAGTCAGCCACTGAGTCTCTACCAGAGTCTGGAGCTTGAGCTTTGCTCTTTGGTTCTGAATCTGTCTTCTGGACGCTGCCTGGCTCTGGACAGTCAGCTACTTCACCACCTTGGTCATGTCTTTGAGCCGTTCGGTCTGACTGGGGCTCTTTTAGAGTGCTATTATCCGTCCCAGATGGATTCACAGCCAAGTTGGAAACAGAGCTCCAGTCCGCCCTGGACAGGCCAGGTCTGAATGGCTTTGACTTGGTGGTGTTGAGAGCCTCCATGGAAGCATACCTGCGAACCCGGCCCAGTCCAAACAAAGGGCTCTGTGGTGAGCTTGAATACGAGATGTGTTCTGGACCAGAGAATCGATTGAGTAAGCTTTTGATGCTGCTGGGCTGTTGCAGGTTTAAACTGCGATACGGGTCTACAGTTGACTTCTTAAGATTGTCCCTCTCAGCGAGCACAACCTCTTCTTTGGAGGTGGTCAGGTGAGGACTAAGTGATGGTTTTGACAATGAGGAACCGGAGGAGGGCTGAAAGAGTTGAACACAATAACAAATCTCTAGAGAAACAGTCAACCAAGTCTGAACTGTGGCTATCAAAGAAGAATAAATGACATATGAATTACACACAGCTCTGGTTAAACCCTTGTGAGAATAATCAATGAATAAATACAAAAACTATGTTCATATTTAGCTGACATCATTAAAAATACAACAATAAATCCATCCACAGGTAAATAATGGGGGTGATTTTAGTAAATATCTAATATTAATAGCCTAATTTACTGTTGTGAAGAGTTTTTCTGAATCTGATGAAGGCCAAATTCCAGCAAGCCCCCATCAATAATCCACAAAGAACTATGCAAAGAGGGACGGATGGTGCATAAATAGTTGTTCAGTGTCGATCTACAGCAGGTTTTAGATCAAATGGGACATGATGTTTTCATGTTCGTTTGTCTTTTTACTTGCTGTTCGGTTTAGTTTATGCAACGCAATTTCCCAATGAGTTTTAGGACTGAAGCGTTCAAATAAGAGCTTAAAAATATGCAGCTAATGTCACAAAAAAACAAAAAACAATCTGTCCTGTAATCCATTAAGTCACTTTGGATAAAAGCATCTGCAAAGAGGCATGAATGTAAATGTTTAAGCAGCATGTTTGAATTGTTTGTTGCTTTTTTGTCGTTTTTTTTACTGGGTTACACCCTCTCAAAGTATTTGATTAAATGATCAAATGCTTTCCCACTTCCGTCAGCAGAGTGCTCAGTGCTCTGCTCACATGTTCCCAACCAGCTCAAATCTGTATTAGGAGCTCTGAAGAAACCAGCCTGTATTCTTCTGATCATTGAACTGTATTCTACATGCTGCCACAGACTACATTTCCTGAGGAGCACAACTTTAGATAATCCAACCAAATGCATGTTTTTGATGCATGTAAAACACACGAGGAAACTGAAGCGGCTTTCTCAGGTCTGTGAGTCCTGAGCTGTTCTAAAAAGGCTCCAGCGCAGCAGCATGCTGATGCTAACATCTGCCTCAGTCACTCTGGACTACAGCAGAGTTTTCAAGAGCCCTCCTGAAACATCACAAGCATCTTCAGCTCAGACAAAGCCTCAATTGCATCCCCTCTTAGGCATCTCCAGCTGTGTCCAGCAGAGAATCATGGGTATGAGACACAAGTCTGAACAAAAAAAAGTCCCATTCAAATGTCCACATCTTTTCCAGAAACTCTCCATCTTGAGTGATGTGCTCTAACAATCCACTCTTTTGTTTAAAAAGGCTGATGCTGGTGAGTTCTACTAATAATAAACTGGTGTTTAATTTACTGAAAAGCGTAGTTTCTGATGCAACTCATATCTGTTATGTTGCCAACTGTGGGATATGCTAGCAGAAAAAAGTTTGCTTTCATCTTCTGGTGTGTGGACACAAGTGATCCAGGTGGATTTTAAAGTTCCCTGAACACATCTGTGGACAACTGAGCAACAGCACCATCACAATCAACCAATCCTGGGTTTGCCTGGATATACTTGATCTTAATTAATCCTAAACCAATAAAAAAAGAAACTGACAAACAAAAAACAAGCATTGGAGTATTTATAAAAATAAAACCAGACACTAATCTCTCTAAATCCAAACTTTTTGTGCAGCTTCAGCTACTGTTAGCTCCTGATCTTATCAGGCCGTGTGCAAAGTGCAACAAGGCGCAACGACTTCTTTAAGATACGAGCAACAAGAGAACGGCTCATTTACACAAACACTATCAAAGAGCACTTCAGATTAAATCTTGAATTAATTTGACTTTCGGTTATGACAATGAAAGGGATTTTCCTTCCATTTTGGTGCACGGTTTTTCCAGTGTGTGCTGACTGATGACATGCATTCATAATGACATTAAGCCCTGTGTGTGAGTGAACGTGTGAGTTTGTGGCTATGCGCTCATATCGTGACATAAATCCCTCTTGAGAAACTGCAGCATCTGTTCGCTCATATGACAAAATCCCCATCCTCCCCCTGAAACACACCACCTTACGCTTTTCACATGGAACTAAAACAACAGATAGCAAAGATAGACAAAAGAACCACGGGGGTAAAAAACTAAAAAAGCAAAAAAAAATGTACTCAACTGACACTTTAAAAAAGGAAAAAAACAGAAAGAGAACAGAAAATGTCAGTATTTTTCAAATTTTGCCAGAAAGCTTCTTGAGTAAATCCAACTTTAATTAACAATCACATGAGGACCGAAGCCACTTAGTGAAATGAAGTGGCCAGCATCCAGGGGTTTAACTGTGGAGGCTCCAGGGTCCAAAGCATGGAGTGGCCTTAATCCAGGGACTGGCCTGGCCATGCCTTCCCAGGGGAGGGAGGCTGAGGCCGGGCTGGGACAGGATCCCAGGCCTGAGAGGGCTGAGAGCGGGGCTATCTGGGGTTTAGGATCATTACTAATCACCGTGGCATTAAAATGTTTACAGGCCCTGGTGGGATTAGCTCCTAGCTGATGATTTTTAATGTCATTATTTCTGCCCTGTTGAGTTGCACAAGCTGGGTCGTGGCTCTCTGACATTAACTGGGTAGTTATTTCTGCCTTGTGTTCTAAATACACACGATTTGTCACATACTCTGAATGTGATTCAAATAACTAAGACTTTTTAATCTGATCTCATCCAAGAAATAACTAAGTTTGAGTATTAATAGTACTCGATCTTTCTTGAGTTCCAAGTAGCCGTCGAGGAGAGAGAATTGATATTTACACAACTGAAAATTTAAAAAGAACAGAAGTCAGACCAATGTTCTGTTGGTGGAATGACAACATTGAGAAATTTGCCAAATACACAAACAAACTCATTTTGGTCGTTCATTCCCTGTGGTCCTCACAACCGTAGAAACATATGGCAATGAGCTGTGCACCATCTGACCCAAATATATGACAGCAATGCACCCTGGGAAATACTCTGAATGCCTCGCTGATGTGCAGACGTGTTCAGGGTCTCTCCGCAGAATAAAAGTTGAGCCTTTTAGAAACCACAGTGCTCCTGATGACATTCTGTGTTACCATAGAACAAGCCTTACATTTTAAAAGAAAGCTTTCATTTTAAAAAGGTGCTCCATCCAGAGCCTTTAGCACCAAATCCTGCACTCTGTAAACAACCTGACCACCGGAGACCTTTCCTGCTCTAAATGGACACTAGCTGTGACGGCACTGTCATAATAACAATTTATTATTACTCTTTAGAGTGTACGGTGTGACAAACATTTGCTAAGTGGATTTCTTTTATGCACTGGTTTATGCTGAGCTCAAATAAAATGCATACCAAGTGTAGAAAAGAGTCAGTTTGATCAACTGTACAGACCAACCTCGAGTATCCTTTAAGACTGAATCATCGCTGACATTTCTTACTTTTGTTTACTGCTGCCTGACAGCCTCCAGGACAAAGGGGGGGAATCTCACAGAGCTGAGAAGCCAAAAATCTTAACAACCACGTCCACTGTGCCAAAGCACAAAGGCTCTCAGGTTTGTCATCGAGTTTGTGTTTGTAGCTCTGCAGCATTGTGTTCCACTCCCCTCTCAGCCCCTTTTCCAATCGTTTCCCAGCTACTTGTTGTCACTCAGCATCAAGGCCGATTTTATCTTTATTTGGGCTACTTTATAGCCTCTTTTTTTCCTTCCTGGCTTCAGTAGATGAGACTCTCATTGGATTGATTATTTTCAAGCTGTTCCAGCACACATTTCCATCTCGTTTGGTCGTGTCTCTGCAACTTTGTGCGATGTTCAATCTTTCCAGATTGATTTCTCCGTTCTGTAAGTTGTTTAACAGATTGTTGCGCTTCCTTCTTACTTTTGCGCCTCATTTTGAACCATCAGATCTGTTTTCAGCTATGAAAATTGTGCAACGCTTTTCTTTCCTGATTTTTTTTGCCCCCCAACTGTTTCAAGTCGTGATCTTGCCTTGTGAGGTCATAGTTCAAACTGAGTTTAACTTTTTACTGTTGATTGTGGTTTGCAGACTCTTTGGGCAGACAAAAAAAAAAAGAAAAAGAAAACTCAGCTCCGTTTGTTCTCAGCCAATCTGGTGGTCAATATGTTTGTGTTGTCACTGAGTGCTCATTTATTCTCTCAACATCGATTAAATAAAACTGTTACATTTGTTATTTAATGCACTGTATTAAAATGAATATTTGTTACTTATTTATACCTTCAAAAATGAGATTTGTTACCAACAATATAAAAATCTGGGAAACTAATTATTGAAATCTCTTCATGATCACTAGATTTATAATATTTGACTAACCTGCATATTTTACAGTGATATGTTAAAGATAAATAATCAAATGCAGCTTAATAAGGATTATCCACCATGAAAGCACAAACATATTGTGGAAAATAATCCTCAAGAAAAACAAAACAAAAGAAAATATATTTTTTAGAGTTATATGTTCACATATCTTTACATAAAGTGAATCTAAATAATTGATTTAAAAAAGCAATTTACTATTTGTGAAGTTAATTTCCATCAATATGATTCTTTGTTTTCGGTTATTTATCTCAAACAATCAGAAGAATGTGAAGCAAACATCGGCAGTTTCTACTGTGGTTTGTAAAATTCTATTTAGCACTTTACCCCTTACAGCAGACAACAAACAGCACATCCATCTAACATTTTCAGTCATTCTATTTTTGATAAATTAATACATATAAAAGAAAATTTAGTTCATCCAGCAGATCCTCTTAAACAATCTGCTCTGTCCAGCTAGATTAAAAACAACCAACTAAAAACATCCATTCACTTCATGATACATTTAGTTAAACTGTTTAAATGACGCAACACATAGCTGCTGTGAGTCCACTACAATAAATAAAAAATGGATCACAGGACATCCTGAAACCTTTTCATACAATCCAATCTACAGCTTTCAGATTAATAATTAATCAGAGTTATGTGTGATTACACGGCCCCACTAACTAGGATAATCTGATGAAATTCACCGAGCTTCTCGGGGACAGAGAGGTGAGAGATTAGTGGGAGGACAGTGTGAGAACAGGCTGGAGATCTTCTGGGACCCAACGCACAGAACTGAAACTGCATAGGGTTGTTTGCCTCATGTTTCATGAATAAATCATTTGGGGCATCGGGTTTTAAAAAAAGGAAGAAAAACCCCCCACTACAATGCAAATTCTGTAACATCTGTCAGTGTTGAAAATCCAGTTTTGAAACGAGCTGACCTATTTTCCTTTAAATCCACATTACAAGTGACTTTATTTGACTTCATGACGGCAATCGCTCTGTGACAAGAAGATATTTCTAGTGAAATCTTACCAATCACAAGTCATCACAAATCATGACTAATGTCAAAATAACAGGCCGTAAAAAGCCATTTTCTGAGCAAACTTCAGACTGACTCTCAGGCTCTGACTGCAGTTTAAAAGTAGGCAGCTTTAAAAATAACATGTGCCACTAAAAGTGTCCGGCAGAAATCAGGACAGATGGTAACTTGTGATACTGTGTTGATAATCCAGCATTTGGCAGTGCACAAACAAAAGGAAGGATGCACCTTTTTTTCCCCAAGCATCGTTCCGCATCTTTGTTTCAAAAACATAAACGTGTAAAATCTCAGATTTAAGCAAAGAAAAAAGATGGAAAAAGGGTGAATCGGGGATTATCAGCCATGAGATGCAGTGCTTCTCTCTCGCCTGTGTGAGCTATTCTCCAACAGCTTTTAGTTCCGAAAACAAATTTAAACTTAATCTTTTCATTTGTTTCCACAGGTTTTTCCTGAAATTATTACAAAACAACTTTAGCAACACAATTACAAAATTTTGATAATGTATTATATATTATTAATTTTTGGCTGACAAAATACTTAAAAAAAAACCTTCTGGATACTTGAATAAAATGTTAATTATATCATAGCTATTTTCATATATATGGCTGGGTGGTGTGAAAAAACTAAATAATTTGTTTCATAACTGTGGAACACCAAAAAAATAGACCCATGATGTTTAAACATCAAACCATTGATTATTTATAATGAAAATGCTATTCCAAATATAAAGACGTTCATTACTGAGAGTTAATAGTTGATAATTTAATGTTACAATTTATCTAACATAAACTAAGAGTCAAGCCTTCAGTAACAAAATAAGAAACACAAAATAAGCACTAATGATTTACCTCCATTTGAAGACAATAACACTAATAATGAATGGATTTGTCTTCTCATTAAGATTATTTTTGAGTATAAAACTTGTGAATATTTTGCCGTAGGAATTGGGAATAAGCGCGCACAGTGAGTGAGTCAGACTGTGGTTGCTTTTGTGAGCAGAAGCATTGGCGTGCTGGCAGCCGGCCTGTCTGTTGTTGTTGTTTAAGCTTCACGAGTTAAACTGTGCTGACACTTTGACAGGTTTGCTGTTATAATAAGACTCCAAACCAGGTTTCTTTGCTCATCGTTTCCTGTCATCACAACTCTGTCAGTTTATTATGGGCTGTTTTTTAGGGGAGAAGTCCGTGTTTGTGTGAGTGGTGTGTGTGTGTGTGTGTGTAGGCCTGCATCTGTGTGTGTGACAGACAGAGCCAGATGAGCAGGCAGATGTTTCCTCTGTATCTTCTCTGACTGTATGAGAAAGACTGACAACAGCTGGACCAGTGCCAGACAAACACACACACACACACACACAAGCAGGTAAACAAAGACACAATAATGATCGTCTACCAGTAGTTAACTGTTTCTCTTCACGTGTCACATGTCTGGCTTTGTTGCTTATTATTGTTCAAACGGGCAAACGGACTAAATACATTTAAAGCAACCATCTGCAGTATGATAAATGGAAACATTAGCTTTTTCATAATTTCATTCAGATTAATTAATGGCCAATAAATTTGACCAATCTGAATTTGAATAACTTAACATGATCAGTACTTTAATTTCTCGTCTATAAGTCACTACTTTTTTTAAGATATAAAACCCAGCTTATAAAATGATGCAGCTAAATTATGGATTTTAACCTTCAACAATTTTCACGTCGCAACAACTTATTCTTGTCACTTCAGATGAATCAGGTTCCAAACATGTCAGAAAAAAGCCTTTACGATTTCTTTTTATGTGCGTCAACAGTAATATCAAAAACAAAATGTAAAACATTCCCAGGCTTTTGGATTTTGTAGTGTCATTAAATTGTAGAACTTGTTTCCTTACTAATGCCAAATCCAAGTTCCTCCCCTCATCCCCTCTAACTGGCCATCTATCCCTCAAACCATTCACAGGCCTGAATGATCAACTAGGAGGGGGCTAAACAGAGAGATTAGGAGTGGGCCAGGGGCTCCTTTACAGCTAGAAGTAGATGTTTTTAAGTCATTTTGATTTTTTATGAGTCACTTCAGAGTTTGGTTCCATCACATAAAAGTAAGCAGCAGGCACATCTGTGGTTTGGTGATGCTCTGTTCTTACTTTTGCTTCCCAAATAAGGTGAGATAAGTATGAAAGTACTGTGCATCTTTGTTTTTTGCAAGTATTACCGACCATTGATAGCTGTGGACAGTGCCATGAAAATGAAATAGAAGTTTAGTTTAACGGTACCATGTGGTTTTCCGTCTCCATCTCGGTCTTTCCCTGCATGCTCTGGGTGCTGCTGAAGGTTTCCTCTGTGTTTGAACTGTAAGAAAAATGCAGAATTACACGTTAAAAGAGATAAAGGCGGCACAGCAAACCACAACTTAAAGTAAAGTAAAATTCCTGTTGTGTGTGTGTGTCACCAGAGTGTGGATTACGCACCTTTGGGTAATTCTGAGGATTTTCTGGGTGAAACGGTTCAGTCTCTGAGCCTCTTCCTGGTACTTGCTCAGGTCCTGGGTCAGTAGGTCACAGAGTGTGCCCAGCGCCTGCTCCTGGAACACCAGACTCTCAGACTGGACCAGACGCTCTGTGATGGTCTCCTGAAGCTCCCGGCAGGCACACAGCTTCAGCTATGAGGGAGCACATCAGAGAACCTTTTCACTAAATAAACACTGGCTTGCTTCTTTATGAAAGTGTTTGCATTTTTCATAAACCCATATTCTACAGCCCTGTTCATCACTGTGTAATATCCACTTTTGTTGTCCTGGACCTTATAGGTTTTGTTCTGCCCTCCACAATTTTACTTTCAACATAACTGATCACATTCCATTTAAAACAGCTCAGGCCCAGGAAAGAACCTTTTCATGATACAATGGATTTTGTATAATGGGCTTTTCTTATCTTAAAGCTGCTCTAAAATGTACAGGCAGTTCATTACAGATTTCTAAACTTCTGCCCATCTTTGGTCCTGTAAGACTGCTTCTTTATGGTGCCAACCTCTGCTACTAACCTTCAACTGGCCCAATTAACCTAATTAGTTTCAACACATTATTTTATTTTCCAAACTTGTGTTTCTCATTTTAATATTTGACAAGTTATCTGTGTTATATCGTGACTGAAATATTGTTTTTTGACCTTTGCAAATGCTAATCATTCTAATTTTCATTACAATTTCAATTAAACAATTTATTACAAATTCCGAATGAAGAAATACGAAAGTAACAAGTCAGGTGACAAAATAATCCCATAACAGAGATGGGCATCAGAAAATAAATTCCATACAATCTTTTTTAATCTATAATTTGCCCATAAACTGCTTGCACTGTTGAAAAAAAAAAGTGTGTACAGAATGGGCTGAAATGAATATAGACTATATTCCTATTTGTAGAGAAGTTCACACCTTAACCACTAAACAAATGTTTACCGTTGTTCACCGTGCTGAAACAGCATCAAGTTACAGTTTGTGTGTCACTCTTAGACACGCTAGCCGTTCACCATAGCGTAGTTTTTGGGACTGAGCTGTGTGATATCCCTCCCCCCCCGGATGCTTACAGTGGATGTCTGCAGGCAGGATCCTCTCCTCAGCTCCTCCTCTGTATTCTTCTTCCTCTCCTGGAGGTCAGACAGCTCACTGGTCAGCTGCTGCTGGCGGGCTTCGATCCCAGAGCGTCTGACCGCACAACAAAGGGAAAAGTAGTGTGTTTACACCTACGCTTTTACAGAAAAATTCCCTTTTCCGAGTGCTGCTGTTTAATCTGAGCACACAACCCCAGGAGCTCCTGGATTCGGGGTGAAGGATGAAAGGGAGAAAGCGTTGACTCTTTGCTTGTTTCATAGCAGATGAGAGATATGCCGGAGAGGTAAACATCTATCAGTCTCTGCACCAGTGAGCCAACACGCTCTGATCCTTTAAACCACCGTGGATTTACTTCCTGACACTTTCTGCATGTTGTTAGTACTAATATAGGCTAGAACTGGAGCCATAACTTTTCTTCTAAGCACTGAAAGCTTGAATGCTGCTTTTTCTGCAGCTGGAGTCAGATACAGAGGTAGTAACAACATGGTGTAAACTGTACCACAACAGAAATAAAACAGCAAACCTTAATATTCAATTTGTTCCAGATTTTAGAATTGCAGCACACTTTGGCAGTAACAGACAAATCCAAACTAATTCATCTACAAAGACCCATGCACACGTTCTGATCCACAGACTAACTGCAAACAGCACCCGCTCCACCGGGAGGCACTACACCTCCGCTAAAAGAGTCAGAGGAGCTGTGTGAGAGGAGGCAATGTGTGTGTGAGGACGAAGAAGAGGCTCATCTGAGCAGCCTTTGATGAAATAAGAGAATTATCAACATGTAGCGAGAGACAAATGAGGACAAACAGCAGGAACAATGGAGGCGCGGAGAGCACAAAGGCCTCAGAGAAACATATCAATATTCTGTTAATGAGGTTATCACGCAGGCCTGGTTCCTCTGTGCGTGGAGAGGGCCACGCTTTGAAGGGCAGAAAGCTGAGGTGATACAAGATACAAGTTAATGTTTGATCTGCATTCAGAAGACTCACAATTAGTCCTTTGTTGCTTGTAATTGGTCCCTGTCCAGCTGCCTAAATCATCAGAGTTCATTTGTCTGTTTTTTTAAACATGTAAAATTCATGTTCACTATCGGTTTAAAACATTGGCGAGTCTGTGCTTTGTTTTGGTTGTTTTTATGAGCATGAACTATTCTGAGCTTGGAAATTCAGATGGGTTTTGCCAGCAGAGGGACAGAGGCACCATGGAAGATGAACTAAACTACAGGTGTGTGTCACAGGGCACTGGAAACATTTCTGTTACTTCTAAGCTCTTTTTCATCTCGGTTTGTAAAAATATGGATGCCCAGTCACAACTCACTTAATTTAGATCAAGCGAAGGAAGCATTTTCCTCAAATTGCAGATCATTTCTCTCATCATGCTCTGCAGAGTTTTCAATGCATCAGAAACACTATTAAAGGAAACGGAAAGTACCTAAACAGGAGACTATGTAGATACCTGAAATTACATCAGAATTTGACCAGAAGGACGTTTCACCTTTTGATGGAATAAAGATCTTCAGATAAACTAAGGTTTATTTAAAGGCACTACACTGTCACCTGTCAATCATAGCAGATCCACAACAATCAAATTAGAAATTTGTGTGTGCTAGAGAGAGAGAGAGAGAGAAAGGAAAGAGAAAAGGATTATCATCCATCGCAGTGAAGAGAGAGTAATTACCAATGAATCTGTGTGTGTGTGTGTGTGTGTGTGTGTGTGTGTGTGTGTGTGTGTGTGTGTGTGTGTGATTGTATGCCTGTGATTCACATACATTGCACACACGTGAAAATGGAAACTGGAATATACGGACCCACATGGCAACAATATGCCTGCCACACACACACGCACACACACACACACACACGCAGCCTGCCAGCTGTCGGCGTGTTCTGATTAGGTGCTTACGTACAGAAAAGCGTGAACAGGGCTCCATAATTATGTGACAAACACATTTCACTCCATAATTGCAGGTGAAAAATGCGTGGGCGTTATTTATTTTTTCTTACATTAATGTAACTGGTGATGGGGAGCCTGTCACACGCCGTTCTCTGCTTTACGTCCGGCGTGCACGGCTCGTGTCTGTGTGTGTGTGTGTGTGTGTGTGTGTGTGTGAGAGAGGACTCATTCTCCACAGAGTGCTCCCATCCTGCACAAAGGTGAGGCTGTAAAGCTGCACGTAAACGATGATGAATATTAATGTCATCTCACCTACAGGCTGATTCCAATGGTGTCAGATTTGTGAAAAATGCATTTACAACTGTTTGCAGGTGTAAGTAGAGACACCGGAATGATTTCACTGCATGTGCAGGCAGTTAGAAGGCAACAGGTCAGATAAGGGATGTATACCCACTTCATCCTGCTTAAATTTGAGCCTGGATACATCATAAGAGGCACACAACTGTTTGAGGTCACACTCACAGCTAGAGTGTGGGAATTTCTAATGATCATGTAGAATCATACAGGTGCACGCATGGCAAAGCTTTCCCACACAAACAAACCTGTCGTGACCTACAAGTTTAAACACACTCTTTTTGTATTTGAGGAGGAAGATACTTAGAAAAATTATTTGTTAAATTATCATTTTTATAATATTGTAAAATATTTTATATTCTAATATAATATATTATTGTTAGATGTTAGTGCAAAGTCATTAACAGTGAGAGGGGGGGGGGGAAAGCTTTCTAAATGGTGATAAAACATTTTTTGCCAAAGGGTGAAAGATGATGTAATGAAAGATAAGAATATTAGAATTATAGATACTGATAAAGAAAAGGCAAAAGAGGAAAAAAACATGTAGTTTTGTTGATTAAATTAATGTGAAAGACATGACAAATGAACAGTCAACCACACAAAAGCACATATAAACAGAATACCTAAAGCATCTGTTTGGCTTTTTGTCAGGAAAAAAAATCATAAAGTTTACATTTAAAGTATTTAAAGCATCAAATGTAAACTTCATTTAGAGCCCTGGGAGGCAGGAAGCGAACCGTCACAGACAGTTAAAGTCCTGACGTTCCTCCTCATGAGCAGAAATGAGCATCGTGACTTTCTGACTGTTTAATGCAGGACAGTGCTGCTTTTGGTTGGATTCGGTAGAATGAGGTTCAACAGCGAGGCCTCAGAGTTTTCCCATCCTGCTGGTTTGTACACACATGAAGGAGAGCGAACAAAAGAACATGAAGTTGGGTGTTTTCCAAACTGCCAGCCTGCCTGTTAGTCTTGGCAACAAGCTGAAGTGTCATTGCGTAACCAGACTTAGGACTCTGGATCCCTCCATCTCTGGGAAAATACAGCTGAAGGCAAAACTGTCACCAGAAGCCTTCATCTTTTCCTCTTAGTGTTCTCATTTGTTTAGCTGCTCATGTGAGCTTTTGACTTAGAGCTTAGACAGAGATTTGCTTTGATGAAGCCGGGGTTCGACTGGAGAAACACCTCGCTGAATCTCTAACAGATAATAGCAGCGCTGCCTGTTTTCAGCACTGTGATTTGCTTCCTATAGCACCCCTTATTTGTATCCATAGATAGCTGTGAAGGTCTCAAGATTCACTCCTACATAATGGAGATGTGAAAAAAGCAGATCACACATATAAATATGTTGAAGGACGTTCATAATAACACTGATTTCCTACAGAAAGAGATGATGCAGGGCTAAGCTAGATCCATTCAATAGTGCCTTTGATTCGTTTTTGGAATTAAAAGGATGGTTTATAAAAAAAATAAATAGACTAAGGCTTTATATTTAACACAAAAATTGGAAAAATACATAAAATACAAGTACTTCATGTTATTCCTGACTCAGTCACCACCTAAAGAAACCACAATCTATTTTTTTCAACCAGTTTTTCGCCCAAACTGTTACAATAAAAAGTAAGAGCCATTACTTAATGAGCTGTAATAACATGGAACATGTTTGATTAAAAAAAAAAAAGAGTAGCAGGATTCCATGGCAGTGGTAAAGGAGAGCGAGAAGCCCCCCCTCCCCAGGCGTGGGTAAACTAACTTTTTGGATCCCTCATTCATGCACATGGATATTCCATCTGTGAAATCAGATGTGAGATTTGTGTCTTATATTCTTAAAAGCCATGTCCACAAATGTACATGTGCGTGGAAGGATTGGTACCCGGGATAGTTTTCTGGAGTGTGGGGACTATCAACTGTGTGAAGAGCTGTTTGTTGGAATTGTTGGGCTTCTTTAAATAACTTCCGAGTACGGAGATAACTGTTGTTGTGATTTTCGCACGATATAAATACAATTGAATTGAATTGACTTGAATTGTTTGTCTCTTAGTCCTGCTTTGGCTGAGCAGGTAAAGTACTTCAAACGCCAACTGCAGAGCTCAGCCTCTTTTAGAATGAGCGCATCAAAAATATAAAATTCAAAATAAAAAAATAATAAATTCTCCCAGAGAGGGAGAGGATGGAACCTGCTAGCTGCGTTCACTAAGGTTCTTTTTAAATGTCCATTTTCATCAGTTCACATTTAGGCAGTTGAAATAAATGTGGTTACACATGTTAGAGACAACATGCAACAACACTTGAGCATAATGAGCTTACAGTATATAAGCCACCAATCATGGCTAGGTATAGCACAAATGTATTAAAGTTATAGAGATGAGCAGGGAGCTTTCTTCTATTTGTAATTCTAGTGAACTGACTTCTGTTTCAATGTGAGCTCAACGTCATATATTCTACAATTCAAACTCTAATGGCAGTGCTGAACTTAATAGGGTAGAAATGAAAAGTCTATTTAAGAAAAAAACTAAGAAATGTATTTGTCTCTGTTCCTAAAGTCTTGATTTATCCTCATATTTCCATCCCAAAGCCCAACCCAGTGTTGGTTCAGACATGACCACATACTGAAAAGTCTTCTTTAAAGCCAAAGAAATCCCCAGTAAAATGAGAGCATGATGACGTCTTTTTCCCGTAAGCCAGGTGGATAAGAGAAGCGTGTTGCCAATTTCTCATTGGACGGTGAAACATGTTTTTTTTCAAAGAGCTAATTACATTATCCCATAAAGTCTGTCATCTGAACTGATTGGAGCTGGATCCCAACATTTCGGAGAAATGAGAGATTTTCTGGAACATGATCGCAGCTGTGTGTGTGTGTGTGTGTGTGTGTGTGTGCGTGTGTGTGTGTGTGCGTGTGTGTGAGCATGGGGGTGTTTGTGTTTGCTGCCACACCTGAGATGTGCCTTAGCTCGTCTTGTGTGCTAAAACAACGAGGCCGGTTTGTGTCATGGGCCCAGAGAACGGGTTGAAAGAGGGCGAGGCAGCAGCCACCTACAGAGGTATTACCGTCAGCCTAAACCCTCTTTCACTTTCTCATTCACACCACACAGAAAAACCATCAGCCATGAACACCGTCTTTGTTCCACCGGCCAAACCACTGACATGAACTGACCTACAGATGGACCAAAGGCAGACGCAGGTAGCACCCCCTGACTTTTGAGAATTGGAACGAGGGTACCTGTCAAACTCCAGCTTATGGACTTTTTTTTGCCTCTGATGGCTTCTTAGAAATGTTCGCTGCAGTGGCTTTCTTATTGGTTTCCAACACTTTTGTGCTTTTGTTTTCGAAACCTCTCAAAAGGAAAGTTAACACCTGAGGACTCACAGGCCCAAGCCACTTGGCTAACTGTTCCAACATCACAGGATGTGTCACTACAGGTAGGAGTGCCCCTCAGAGAGAGAACACATCAACATGGAAATATAGATGAAAGCAAATGGATGACAGAAGCATTCACTTGAGTTTCCTCCTCTTTTCCCCATCCCTCATAGTTTCAGCATACGCAGACACATGCAGAATCCTGTTGTTTTTTCCACCGGAGCAGAACCGGCTGCCGTCAGGAGATACAGAGAGCCTCAAATAGTCATATTTCAGCTCTGTGACAAAACTCTAAAACCAACACGGAGCCGCTCGCATGAACAAACAATGAACAGCGGAGGCCGGATTTTATGAAGGAGTGAGTCCAGCTCTGGTTCATAAAAAATAAAAAAAACAGAGCAGATTTGGCTTTAGAGGAATGTTGAAAAGAGGATTTTCAGCAAAAATAAAAATAAAATAATTTCGATTTTTTTGCAAGTCTATCTTTGGAAACTTGGTCGTACATTCCTCAAAGAATGAAACAAACAATATTCACAATATGAGATCCTTATTTTGATAATAGACAGCACATGAGTAACACAGACCTCTTAATAACTACAGTTTCTGTGTTTATTATCCTCATAGATGCTGGAGGGGGGGGGTGGTGGTGAAAAGTAACAACTGAGGTCAATCTTGGTACAGTCACTTTTTGCACTTTTAAGAGATTATCTCTAAAGAGGTTTACATACTGTTTGTATGGAATAAGTCATAGCCTCATGGGAAACTTTAAAAAATCTAATACTAACAGGTAAACAGAGTCTGTGCACTGTGATTCTTTTTTTAAATGATGAAGCTAAAATAATCTCAGGATGGCACAGGCCAAAGGATGGACTTCCTTTTGTAAACACTACAGCATACGAACATCTGAATAGCAAACGCACAACATGTCAGGGACTCACTGTGTGTGAATGCTGCTGAGCTCCTGCTCTGTCTGCCCCTGCAGCTGCTGGAGGTGAAAGGTCAGCTGTCCACTCAGAGCAGCAAACCCCTGCAGTCCCTCTCTGCCCCAGCTCTCCTCGCACACCAAACTCTGAGGAGGAGAGGCCGTTAGTCACACTTCCAGCTGGAAGCGCGGACAGAGCAGTGGTAAAAAAGCGGGACAAAGAGCCACGCTTTTTCTTTGGGGCCATGTCATGACCTCCACTCTCTGTTTTCAACCTTATTAACCAACAAGTCTCTTAAACCATTTTCAGACACCTATAACAGCCGAAAGGTCAGTTTTTATTTGATTATTAACTACAGAAACCATTGAAAGTTCACAGCTATAAAACTGACTTAATCCCTAAAGAACGTGTGTTTTCCTGACATCACAGTCTGAAGTCCATGAGCCAAGTGGAGACATGTGGGTGTGCACACTAAGACAATGGGTCGCACAAACCAGGAAGTGAAAAGGGCATTCACATTTCATTTCATCACATTCTATGCAAGGGGTTTTAATTCAAAGGAGCAGCCAGCCAGCAGCTAACCTGAAGATGAACGGTTTTATCTGTGGCCAGGTAAACTGAGAGGGTCATGTGGTCAGTCTCTTATTCAGCTGACCACAGCCACATCCCTGATCCCCGTCAAAAGATAGCATATCAGCTTTTAAAGAAACACCTTTGGAAAATGACCCAACCAGCTGGATAGGAAAAAAGGCTGAAGATGATTAGGTAAATACAAACACATTCACAGGTTCAGCTTGGAACAGTTTTTACGACCAGAAAGCTTGAATTAATTACTTTTAGTATTAGTATTTAATAGCTGTAAAACACAAAAAATTTCAAACCAGTACATTTGCCGAACTATCTCATCAGCAAATGTAACAGACTCTTTAATTTACTGCCATGGCTGTTGTGACTTTGGTCCTATTTTTTGTAATATGCTCAATAATCCAATACGTTTTATTATAAAAATGCACAAAAGCTAAAAAGGCAAAAGTCAGAGCGTTAATCAGCTTAACAGGAAGCCACACTTCCATGAATATTTACTGTAAAACACAACTGTGGTCATAGCTCAAACAGTATCAGAGCTTTGTTGCCATGTAAATAATGAGGCATAATTTACAATCAACAGGACAAAATGTTCATATCATACCATTCAGACAGAATAATAAAAGATGTGGGAAATAAATACTGCAAAGCTGGTGCTCCTTCTTTTTCCATTGGTGGGACGTATAATGAAGCTATTCACTTTGTTTCACTAATCCAATAAGAGAAACACTTAATCTCAGAAATCCCATACGTAATCATAAATCACTGGGAGAACACTGAATGAGAGTTTTTCTAAATACCATCTCAACTCTAAATGATCTCAGTTTGTCAAACACAGCAGAACAATGATCCCAACAATCCTCCGAGGACTATTTAATTAGATTATTGAGTACAGACATGCAGATCGAGCTCAGCGCTAATAAAGACCGAGTTGAACGAGGAAGCATCTATTCCGGTTAAGCCTGGACTTGTTGATGTAGCTCGAGTCTTTTGAAGAGAAGCGCGAGATGCTGCAGGCTGCAGGACAACAGACCGCCTGAGTCATTCTGGCAGAACACGAAGCTCGGCCCGGTCCACCCTTCATCTGTCTGTCTGTTCCCCGTGACTCAGTCCTTCAGACAAACTGGCACTACGCTCCCTCACTGGCCAAGTCCCATTTGTTTTTCAGATGCGATATCTAGTCGGTGCTGGCAACAGTCAAACGCACAAGTGACTCTTTTTTTTGTCATCATAATCAATCCCTAACGTGTCAACAGGAACAGAGCTCCGACATTTTGAGTTAAGGTGTTAAACCGGACTAGTGTATGTTTGGGAATTCCAGTCAGGACAGGCTGAGCTCAGCTTTATTAGCAGACATCATCATCATCATCATCATCGCTTCTTCCCAAACAGACGTTAACGTTTGACAGTCAAATGATTTGTCTTTTTTATGATCGTTATTTGACTTGTTGCCATTAAGACTTCACGGTACGGCATAAATGAGTTGGAAGCTACCTGTCTGAGCATGGCCTGAGGAGAGATAGACAAAGAGCCACAGAAAGGAAGGAGGAGGGAGAGAAAAAAAGGCTGAGATTCCCCTACAGAAAACAAAAGGAAGTAGGAAATTAAGCCACTGGCGTAAATAAAACTAGTGATAAAGACAGAGCCCGGCACAGACTGGCAGGATGAATGCAGTTAAGGCGGTATGCTGCAATCAGCCTCGAGCAAAGATGGAAAAAACATTTCAATACAAAAATCCTGCAGAGTCAGCAAAAGTAAAGTTTTGCTTTACTATTTCATGTTAAATGCTTTAAACTCTGGGTATGGCTCATAAAGACTCAAAATAACAATTTAGTTGATTTGCTGCATCCCTTAATACAATTCATGGTATTTCCATCTAAACTTTACCTGCTGCTCCTCACAGGGGAATCGTAGGATGTCAACTTTTTCTTCTATGAGCTGACGCAGAATCTCCCACGAAGCAGGCTGTTCCTCTTTGTTTCTCTGGAAATCTGGAGACTTAAGAGAGAGGGAAACAGACAGACTATTTTATCAACTGTCACCAATGGAACCCTCATACAGTAAATCTGGTTTCGCAACCAGCAGCTCTGGCAACAACTGAATACCACAAAGACTCGGTCCTAATGGCCGCTGTCAGAGGGAAAACTGTTTTTCTTCCACGCCAAACAGCAGCAAGTCAAAAGTTTACATGCACCCAATAACCGAGTAGGTGTGTCCAAATCTCCTGTCACGATCACCTCCAATTAGAGAAACACCCAGTTAGCACAGCATACCAGCATGTTTCAGAGTGGTAACAATGCATTAACCCTCAGCTGCCTATCAAACGGGTTATTTTTGTTTACTGTTTATATCAACTCATAGTTTTTATCACCTCTTAGATGGTACGTTCTCCTAGTGCATTCCATTCTTTATCATATTTAATTATTTACTGCTAATTACCTGCAGATCTAAGGATTTCAGGGTCTGAGAAAGAAGATATTTCCTCAAAACATCTTGTTTTATTAGAACTACAACCTATAAGACCTGAAATCCCTCCATGTCAGCTGAATGAATACATGTAGTCTTTATAGTGATGGATCACCTGTCTCTGGAGGCTTACATCACTATATTGCCTGGCAGCAAATGACTTAGAAACACAAACTCTGAATCACCCCCCCGGGGAAATGTCTGGCTTTGTAAAGGACAGACAAAAGATGGAGATAAGAAAAAGAAAACACAGACGCAGAGACTAAATAAAAAGTGGAAAGCTTCCATTTTGAAGCCGGTGAGAGGAAATACAAACAGTCAGCATCAGAACTTAAGTAACATTACAGATGCCCCACATTGTTCTGAGGAACTACACACGTCTGCTTTTTTCTTAACCGAGAGAACCAATTTACATTCATATATAAAAACTACAGATGGATAGTGGGCAATTAAGTTTGTTGGTGAACTGGTGAGTTGATGGACTGATAAGATGAGTGGGCTGGGTGTTCACAGCCCAGCGAGACTGTGATGTCTGATTAAATGCAATCAAAACCTCTATTGTGTGTTAATCCCTCTGTGCCAGTGCTACCTAGAGGGAGTGAAGATTTGCATTAGATGACAGAAAAAGACTTTTAACTTACAAAATTTGATAAACATACAAAAGATCTAACACAGTCTTTGCATAAAAGGTAATTATAGAGTAAAATAGGGCTTGATGAATGTGGGATGCTGTATCTGTCTTATCCTTACTGCCGAGGCCTGCCTATGAAAAATTATGTTTATATAATGCTAATTTGCTTTCGTAATTATGTTTTTCGTCAAAACATAATTGATGAAACAAATTAATGCAAGAGAAACGTAATTTTAAGAGACCTGTCACAATCATGTAACCCCACCTAGTCTACAATTTCAAAGAAAATTACAGGCCAACGCAAAAGCTGACTGCAACATCTCCTTTTCTAAATGTTAATAACAACATTACCGAAACAAAAATAGTTTTACAGGCAAATCCCTCCAAACTGGCTGTGCCTAAAATAAAACCCAGTGCATAGTGGAAATTGAATCAAACAAAAGATGCAAAGAGATGGAGTTTCATGGGACTGATACAGAGCAGTTTGGTTCGTCTGAGTCTAGTTGAGCATTCACATTAATTTATAAAGACTAAAGACTAAAGCAGACTAAAGACTAAAAAGGGAAACAACGTTTTGACACCTTTTGGTTTGTACATTATAAAGTTTAAGTCTGTTGTAGGATTGTTGTTCTATATTCTGTTGTGTTAGCTTGTCTGTACATTTAGTGCTTTATTGTGTCTTGATGTCATTGCCATGCTATGGTGTCAGTATCATTTAGGAAATCCTTATTTCTTGCAATGAATAGCAGTGCGTTTATTAAATCATTCACATTCTAGGCTTGTGTAGAACGGGAAGTATTAATGGTCAGAAATCCGGTCTGGGATAAAAACAACTGTCAGAGCCCAAAAAGTAAATTTAGTCTAATTGTTTTTCAGGATAGATAGAAAAAGTAAGAATACCACTTTAACACATTTCTATGGTTTGCCATCAACCACAACTCTTAAGGCTGCAAGACTACATATGCAATTGCTCCCACCTATGAAAAGATGAGCCTTTGTAATTCAGAGGGGCCACAAAACACTGTGACAGCAGCACAGAAAAAGAACAGCAATAGAACAGAAATGCACAGAAAGCCATAAAGGAACAACTACAGTACATGCATAAAGGACATTCAAGGGATATAAAGAACTGTAAAATTGCTTGAATCTCCAGCCTTTCAAAATCTAAGTCGATACAGGTTTACTGTTCCGATGGTTCTAAACCAGCTCAGTGTTCCACCAGCGGCCTTAAAATACAAACTTGATCTGGAAAATATCCGTGTTAATACTCACTGAAGGAGTGGAGGGGCGAGAGGCGTTCATGATGGCAGACTCACACTAATTTCCTGCCTGTGCTCGGACCGCAGAGATTTTTCTATTTGCATGTGCATGTTGTTGGGTGGGCTAAGCTGCTGTGCACATGGAGATGACCCTAACTACAACCTCCAGCCAGCAGAGAGAGACGGAGGGGAAGAGAATGTGAGCCGGCCAGTTAATATGCAGCCAGTGTGGCCAGTTTGTTACACACTGATCAGCTCACTTCACTTCTTACTCATGTGTGTGTGTGTGTGTGTTCAGAGAGAGACAGAGAGAGAGAGAGAATGCAAAGAATGAATGAATGTTAGATTACCTGGTTAAGTTCTACTCACTTGAATCACATCAGTGGTATGCAAAACATTTAGCTAAATTGTGGATTCTTTATTATGAAAAATTGGTACATTCCAGTCACTGTTAGAATAAAAAAAACTTATGTTGAGCCTAAACTGGGTTTATACCCTAAACCCGTGCTGAAGGAGTTCTCATTCCCACCTTAAGGAGTGCCCGGGTGGGGCCTGGTGACTTGGCAGGTGTCCACATCAGACACACCTTGATAAGCAGGCGGCTTTAATAAGGGTGGAGCCTCCATGCTCACATCGAGTTCTTTCCTCCTTCTGAGTAACATGTTTGTCTTTTTATCAAGTAAGAGCTTGTGAAACGAGATGAACTACTCCTATCTTGACAGACATCGTTCACTCTGTTGTTTACAATAACACTTAAATATCTGTAGTGTAGGAATGGGAGAAGCAAACTTTTAAGTTACAGGATTAGAACAATTTCAGATTTCTGGAATAACTGGTTCATTGGAGCTAAAGCTGGAGCAAAGGTTTTGGGTGGACTGACTCTATATCTATAGTACACAACACAAGGAATTATCTTTGTTCTGATAATCTAATCTGAGAGTTTAAAGAGCAAAAACTCTCCAACATCATACATTTTTTCAATATTTTCAGAGGCCAAATGGATGGATTCTTGAAAATTAGGAACAAATTCAATTAATTAAAAAAAATCTATCAGAAAAAGAATAAGAATAAGAAATGTGTTTCTATACTAATTTACTGAAATATTGTTCTATCGATATTCATAAATGACCGAGGCTGACCAGTGCCAACACCAGTCTGACATCTGAAACGAATTTGTGGTCCTTGAGAAAACCTCTTATCCCTCCATGTTTTTAATAGTGATATCTATATGGCTATAAAGTCAGAACTATAACGTGAATGGAAAGTTGCGTAACAGAATTTATGGTGGCTATGCTGTTACACTATATATGGTATTATATACAGTGTGTTCTTCATATACAAGATAAGACTGCACCCATCCACCCTCTTTCCTTACCCACTTCTTCCTGTTAAAGGTTGCTACAGGCTTGGGTCTATCTTAGTCTGCATTAGATGATTGGTGAGTTGTCCCCGACCCCTTTGTCTCAGGTTTTCCTGAAATTGATGCATTTGTTCTGCAAGCGCTGCCTGGTGCAGTTTCAAAGAGAAAATGTCAGCACAAACTGAACTAATTAAACTTTCTTTTAGGCAGATATCTGCTTCCTTTCCTATAACATCATTATCTGCATTTCTTAAACTCCTCGAGCTAACTAACCAAACAGAGCTGGCAGGAAAATTCATCTGATAAGACATTCACTTTCCCTGCCTTGAAATCTCTGAAAGCATCTCAGGATTGTTTCATGCTTTGCAAATAGACGCGGCAGACTCTCCATGTTTGAGGAAACAACATGGTCCAATCATGTCTATTTGCCTCTCTCGCGTCCGAAGTTATTAATCTAAAATAATCAAAAATATCTTTTTTAACCTGGCGAAAACCTTTTAATTAATTGTACTTATTTTTTTGTTTAACTACTGGGCTAAATCATGTGCTTTCTTATCATCTGTGACAGAATAAATAGAGGTCCGTGGGCATGCCCTGTCACCATAATAACACCTGTCATTCCCCAGTAAACAGAAGTGGATAGCACGCCTTATCCAGCACATGCTGCTTGTGACTCACAACTTTGGACTATCACCTACTGTGATGTTGCACTTTGAACCAGTAGGAGCTTTAAAATGGGAGTTAACAGCAGGTGACATATTTCAGGCTCTTTTTAATGAGCAAGGAGTGCCTCATGATGGAAGCAACTTCTAAACAACTTTCTGATTTCTAACAACTGATAAAAGAAAAGGAAGGAAAAAAGTTGAGATTTCCAAATGAAACTCACAAAAGAATTCATGCATTTTAATTCACCTCTACAATCTTCTCCCCTCCTCTTGCCTGATGTTTCCCAGAGGAATGCCAGACCAGTCTCCGGCCCAGCATTCCCCTCTGGTTGGCTGATAAGTTTTGGCTCACGAATGGGGCTCAAGTTCATCCCATAGGGAGTTACCAGGGGTTGAGGTCAGGCACAATTTTTTTTATCCTGGACTCCAGCGTGGAAGGTTGTGTTTGGAGTCCTGAGACCTAGAAGCACTACAGGGACCATGTACCGTACGTCGTAGGATTTTGATAAAGCTGATAGAAACAAATCTTAAGCATTCACAGCTAAAGAGAAACGTCTTTGTGTCTCTCCAATCTAAACCTAAGGTTTTATGAATATAATCTTATCATGAGCCTGAGTCTTATTGTCTTCAGCCGTGTTGGAACATAAAGGATCTGCCTCAAATAGGAATCTATACATTTCTTTCACAAAAACCTTTCATTGCACAGGACAAAAACAGGCCTATTTCATAACGTAGTCTTAAACTACAAACGGGAGATAACCTTTATGGAGACCTTTTTTACTCTACTACAGTTTAATATGAATGCACAACCATTCTGCACTGAAAACCTAATATTTACGTTCACAGGGTGGTTAATCCGATTTGTATTTCACTGCGATACATTTCACCCCATCTATAAACACACCAACTTCACAGAACAGTAAAACCAGTTTGTCTGCACCTAATTATGGGCGACATACCACCTTTCCTGTGTTTGCTTTTCCCTCTTTGTTCCACCCCATTTAACTCAACCAGAACAGTTTTCTTCTGTGTTCAACACAAGCACAGAAGTTCACAGTCAGATATCCAGCGACTCTATGTTTAACCGTCTCGACCAGGATGATGTCTGGAGACCCATTAATGAAGATAAACCAGATACCAACCGCCCAATGATAAATGATATTCATAGACTAAGTAAATGGAGGCAGTGTCAGTGGCTGTTTTGGTGTTAGTCACAACACTGCAGCCACCCTAACCCTAACCCAACCACATTTCAACACTGGTGAGAGCAGGCAGACAACTTTACCGCCTTTACCGCCGCTCCTCCAGAGAAATGATTCAAACGTCTCCGAGCTGTCATTTGCAGACAAAAGAAAAAGCTAGCAGACCTGTTGACAACCAAACGTGCATGTGAGAGTAGGCCTTCACACAGATATCCACGGCCACGTTAGACTCAGCCCTGTCCAGCACCACACTCCCCAATCACAGGAAGAATAGGACTGGTCCTTCAAGTGATCATTTTAAAGGGATAATTACAGTCTGTCCGCATTGTTTTGTTGAGTGGCCTTTTGTCGTGGCAAATAATGACTTTCCTCAAGTGACAGGAGCTGTAGAACTTCACTCTCTGGCTGCTGGAGCGCCACAAAACACCTCAATGTTAGGAAACCTGAAATCTCTGAAACGCCACTATCACTTCACAGAACTGTCATTTTCTAAAACCAACCCAATCAAGTACGGTTCCGGAGGGCAATCTAATCACAATGGTCAATATAATGCATAGAGAGATGGCTTCTTCAGCCATATATCGCTTTATGGAATAGCCCATGAGCAGCTTAACCCCTGATCACTCATCAGTCCCACTGCTGGGAATCTGCTCCTGGTTTCACTGGAACGCTGCTTTTCCCAGTCAAACTGGGCATGATATGAAAGGCAGAAAGTATGGGAATTCCTCCAATAAAAGCACGTGGAAAAGGTCAGGCGGGTGACTGGGTGAATCATTCGTCACAGTCGCACAGAATTACATACATAGACAAATAAACATGGCACACATCCAGAACAAATGCTAGCCTTGTAACTATCTGAACTCAAATTTTAGTGGACCACTGGGAATGCTTTGGTGTAGACCCCATATTATATTCAATTACTGCTTTGGAATCTAATTGCTTTGGAATAAATTCTTTTAAACCCTTGAGCAGCTATTTTCAGCTTGCAGACACTTATGAGCGAACCAAATATTAATCTTGTAAACAGGTTTATGCACTGTAGTAAACACAGGAACAATATCCTGAAAACCGATCACGATAGGAGGAAACAAAGTGAGGTCTTCATACAGGGAACGACGGCAGAGGAGTTCAGCTCTCAACTTTCTTTTCCAAACTATTTTCTCGTCTCCACTCTTTCAAAAGTAGAACATCAACATAAACAACAACACTCCGAGCCCCGCGACGCCCCCCCACCACCCACTCAGCCGGCACCCACTCGGCCCTCCAATGACGCTTAATGAGTAATAAGCAATGGGTGACCACAATCTTGGAGTCAAGCCAACTTTCCCAGATGCCAAATTGAAGCCTGGAGGTAATACAGAATGCAAAGCAACGCTCATTAAAACTTGAAGAAAAAAAAACAAAAACAGGAGCCATAAAATGCAACTAAATGAACAAAGATCCATTCCGAGAAAATCTCTAAATGATGCTGATGAATAATCAGACTCTTAGGAGTCCATTAACAGCAGAAATTACAACTGGTAGAAAACGGGCTCCAGAACACATGCTTGACCCTAAACCCTGAGCCTTTTGGCCCCGGCATCGTGTCGGGGAGGGAGGGGACTGAGCTCTGGAAAAGGGGGCGAAATGGAGAGAAAATTAGAGCCTCAACAGCAACAATTTCAGCTCAAGCGTCATAATGTGAGGCTTCCAGTTCTTAATGGACCAAAACCGCTTTAGGAGACGTGACTGCACAGAGGACAATTGGGACTTAGCAGCATAGACGTTCCTGTTGACGTATCTCCTCAGACCACCAATGGAGCACAAACGCTGGCATGTGCAGCAAAGCTGTCAAAACCCGTCAAAACTGGAGGCTCAGAGAGGCAGACTTCCAATCCTGTTCAATGTAAACCATTATGTTTGTGTGAGGATGATCTGGTTCCTGTTCTACTGGCGTTTTACCAATCCGGACACCTACTGTTCTGGAAGAAGACTCCAGAAAGTTCAGAGCCACAAGCTCCACAATGAACTCAGTTCATCCAAACAGCTCTTAGTTTATTGCTAAAGGTGACGGTAAATGTAAAAGTTGCATTAGATGCTGAAATACATGGAGGGGGAGTTTGACTCAGACTAAAAGGAGATGTTGCATTTAGGAGCAGATGAGTCATGTTGTGAACAAAGCGAGCTGAGCTCTGCCCCAGACCTCAGTTTATCCATAATCACTCTCCTCCTCTGCCAAGCGTTCAGGACTTTACCGGAAACTGACTACACACCTGTGTGCTGAACAGGTTAGCAGTCATGGTCTAGGAACTCAGCAGACAGGAGATCCAAACTATCCGATTCACGTGTGTGGATTCGTCTACGTCTGCCCTTTATAGAAAACACCTTCATTCTTCAAATGCCCGTCATCAGACCTGTCACTTCTCTTCCCACTTTCTCATGATTCACTTTTAAGACGTCACGTTTGACTCCTCCAGTCCTCAGACTGTACGGAGCAGGCCCCAACAGATCCCCGTGCCCTGACTTCCCCCAGTCTGCTGCTCACACCGTTTATGGTGACGAGCATTCAAAAGCACCAGGCCTATAGGGGGTCTACAGCTTCAATCAGTTGATTTAAGCCTGTGCTTTTCCACCTTGTGACAGAATGAAAGACAGCAGATGCCACTTTGGGGTGTTTCTCATACCAGACGACTTAAGATTTGATGACAATAGAAATGAATCCAGAGAACAAAGGCAGGATTGTTTTAAACCTTAGGGCAAACAACTTTAAAACACTGCGACTGCTTTAGGGAGCATTCCTTCTCAAATTCATCGAACCAAGCCCTGGAAATACCAGCAGAAGAAAAATGGATCAGAACACCCAGCCTACCTGGAGCCACACCCAACCACCTAAAAGTGACTGAGCTAGACACAACCAGTGTGTGTGTTTTCAGTAGAACGGGTTTGGTGTCCCACTTGTTTGGCTCAAAAAAGCCTCTTTAAATCACATTTCAGTGACAATTAAACTTCTCTCAGGAAAAAAAGGCCCTGTGTACAGAATGAGCGCATCGTTGTGGAGGGCTCCACCAGCAGGAGAGCTAATGGTTTTCTCAGATTCAGGTTTGTTTGTCTCAGCCAGGCAGCAGAACATGAACTTCTGCAAACATGAAAAGGAACGCAGAGAAGCCCAGTGAAGGGTGACAACAAACACAGACACAACTTTCTCTTCATGGCTGACAGCGCGATCAACAAAAGCTTCACACAGGATCAGAACGCAACAGGAAAACGAAATGCCGCCTTCATGCTGGGCAGGAACGTCTGAGTGGAAATCTTTTTTTATTTTTAATTCTGCGAAAGGAGAACGATATTATTGATATTATTGATTATGTCTTCCAAATTTATCAACACAAGCACACACAGGTGGGCTTCTGCGTGGAGAAACCAATTTGAAGGAAACAGTGACATCACCTGACTGACACTACGTTTGGTGTAACTTGGGCTAATCAAAGAAATGAACAGGAGATCCACAGTCAACCAGCAGAGGACAGTTGAAGCTTTCGAAGAGGCTTCACAATGCCCACACAAACAGAAGTCAATGAGAGACTGTTGAGAAGGGGAATCTCTGCCTGTCTTTACCTCTGAGAGACTCGGCTTCTCTTCAGTGCTCTTTTTATGTCAAACCATGTTATTTATTTATGAGGTAACATTTTCATCCAGCTGCTCATGAGCATCTCACTAAAAACTAAAAAGGCTCACACCAAACCTTTGATATAGGTTTTCCATTTTGCAAAAAAAAAAAAGTCCTATCCAAAGTCCAAAGTTATCTTTGCAAATCCCTCGACTTCTTTTTCTGATGGCATTTTACAGAGAATCCAAACTTACTGTGCATTGGTTGTAAAAGCACCAACAGATGGTGGACAGTTGAGCTGTTAGGGTGCACTGCCTCACACAGATGAGCCCTTTCTGCTACTGGAGGATTTTGACTTGTTATTAGCCATTTGGGAGGGGAAGGGTCACTAAATTGGTCTGAGTCATGAGTTCTTCAAGACACAAAAAGCCTGAAATGCATGATGAGAAAACTACAGGAAGTGAGTGGGATTCTAAACACGCAAGCAGAGGCTCTATTCCCATAAGCTAATAAAACCAAAACCTCAAATCAAGGTCCAAGTTCACTGGAAGCATACAGTTAATATCTTTGTCTTCAGTGGTAA